CATTACAGGTATGCCCTACCACACTTGGCTTCAGAGATACTTATTCTTTGGTAAAAACGTGGCTTTTCCAGTATCATATACTTAGGTCCTCTGAGTTATCTGAGAATTTGCAGAAATCTATTCAACACATTTTCTTAATTTTATCGTAAAATCTCTGGATGCTGGAGCTGAGAGAAACTGAAGTTGATCCAAATAGCAACTAGGTTTTATCTTGGGAGCTAGACCAATAGCTGGTAGCTGTAGCTGTTGAGCATTGGTGGTAGCCATGTCCCTATCTCACTGGGAAAGTGTGCCCTCATTGGTTAACCTGGCACAGGTGTGGGCAACCCATAGGTGGCATGTGTGTAGCAATTGGTTTGAGTAAATTTGCTGAACACATTCAGCTTTTAATGCCCAATGGAGTTCTGAAAATTCTGTCTTTTGCAGCATAAATTTGGCCAGTTTCTCAGTCGTAAATAGGCTTCTGTCTGTATCAGTTAGAAGCTGAGTCTGAGGGGCCTACATCAGTGTGTGTACTTTTCTCTCGTGAACTGAAAAGTCCAGAGGTAAAGAGTGAAAAGATCCAGGGCTTGTCATCTCAGAGATGACATTAAGGACCCAGTCTCCTCTATCCTTGTACTCAGCATCTTTAGCGTGCTTCTAGTGAAAAGCTGACTCTGAAGGCCTCAGTCAAAGAAGGGCAAAACGTTACATGCTTGCTAAGTCATATTCCTTGAAAGAGCTGTCCTGCAACTCCCTGCCCTGTGAGTTCTGCTTATATCCCTCCCAGTGGTTGAACACATTACGTACCTAAAGGAAAGGTGGGTTTTTACTAAGCACGTTGGTACCCAGCAACATTGGACTTCTGATAGCAAGAAAAGGAGAATGGATATTCAGTCAACTAATAAGTGTTTGCTATAGTCCTCCCCTTCAGTTACCCAGTGTCTCTCTTTCTAAAATGAGAACATACCCACCTCCTTCTGGAAAGTCTCATCTAGTTAGTACATTTGGCTGAAAGGCCAAGTGGTCTGAGTAATTTCAGATCTTTCATCAGGTTTAGATAGGGCATGTTGTGAGTAAATGTTGTGACTAAATGCCCCACTTCTGGGTAGAGAAAGAAGAGAATAATTCTAAGTAGAAATTCTCACTTGGAAAAGCAGTGATCAAATCTTCCTGGACAAGAATAGGTGAGCCTCTGACCTGGCGATAAAATTTTCTTGGGTGACTTATCTGACAGCCCCTGGTTCATTTCTTGTGCCCATTGTCTACAGGAGATCTTTTTTGTTGTTTTTGTGTACCATGGCCATAGCTGAGTTCTACATCAGGGAGCATGCCGGAGAAGGTCCTTTTTCAAGGGTGTAGCAAGCCGAGAATGGGTGGTGCATTTGTGTAGTTCCAACACTAGAGAGGCTCAGGTGGGAAAATTACTTGAGTCCAGGATTTGGAGGCCAGCCTGGGATGTAAAGTGAAACACACACACATACACAGTGTAACAATCTGAATACCCATCATTAGGGAGTGTGGTAAATAACTATACTGTGTCCGCATAATGATTTAATGAATCAAGATGATCCAGATGTGTGAATAAGGATGAACATCAAGACAGAAGTAAAAATAACTAGCTGGGTAAGGTGACACATGCCTGAAATGCCAATGCTGTGCAGGCTGAGACAGGAGGATTCCTGCAAGTTCAAGGCCAACCTGGACTACATAGCTAGACTCTGGCACCAAAAAGAAAAACAGAAGGAAGAATCCTATTTTTGATAGACTCGTGTGGAAGGAGAGAGATGTACATAGTATGATGGTTGATCTTGATTATCAACATGATTGGCTTGAGAGACACCTGGGATTAGTAAAGAATATTTAGGTGATGGGGTTGTGACCTTAGGGACTGTATCTGGACCCTGGTCCCTTCCTCTCTGTGCTCTGCATTCTGGCTGTCATGAGACCCACAGCTTTCCTCTGTCACATTGACGTTCTGTTTGGAGCCAGCCAGCTGTGGACTGAAACCTCTAAAATTCAGCCAAAATAAGCCCATCCTGTGGTGTATGTCAGGTGTTTTGTCCCAGCAACCTAAAGCTGAACAATATAGAAAGTATTTGGAAGTATACGTAAGAAATGGGTAACAGCAGTTCTTCTGGGGTGTGGTCACAAAATCAGAAGTAGGAGGAACATTTAGTTTTCATTTGATACCCATTTATTCTGGGTGAATTTTTATCATGTGCACATATTTCTGTCTTAATTTATATGCTTCCTGATAAAATGTTTTTGACTAAGGAAAAAGAAAAATGACAAATGATTTATGAGTCTTTGTGATTCCTAAAAAATGTTTACCTCTTAACTGCCTTCAGAGACCCCCAGAAGGTGGAACTGGGCCTTTGGTATTTTCATTTTCTGGATGGGTGGGCAGTTAAGCCCTTGGCTATCCAAGCACATACTGTAAGGCTTTGACTTCTACTTTTTCTTTATCCTATTTAGCAGCCAGGTAAGATGTATATTCCCTTTTTCTCTACAGTAGAAATTTTACTCAGCCGACAAAAGGAAACCAAGCTTCTAAAGAAGGTGACTGATGTGGCTGTGCGAATGTCAGAGGAGCAACTGGTTGAGCTCAGAGCTGATGTCAAGTAGGACTTCCTTCTCTCTGCCTTTTCTTTTCATCCTCCCGGACTGAAGTAGCAAATGTCCATAATTCACGGCCATAGGTAATATATCGAACTCATGATCTTTCCCTTCCAAACCTGCCTTCTCCCAGGTGCCCTTCCTTTGTAGAAGTGGTACTGTCATCTGCCCAGTTGTCCAAGCTGAAAACCTTAGGAAACTTCTCCATTTCCCACATTAATTCTCTCAACAGACCCTATCCATTTGACCTCCTGCTACATCTCAGTTCTGACCTTTTCTCTTCCTCTCTACCACCACCTTTGCGATCAAGCTTCCGCCATCTGTTGCTGGGATTTCTGTGTAAGTTTTTACCTGATTCTCTCCATGCACTTTACCACTGCTCCACCATACCCACCTCTCTGTTCCTCACACCATAGTAACCTGCTTCAAACTCCCAGTCTTTTTAGGATAAATACTATAATTCTTTTTTTTTAACCTGTTGAGATAGGGCATTGAACTGACTATTAGCCCAGGCTAGTCTTGAATTTGCGGTGATCCTCCTGCCTCAGCCTCCAAATTGTTGGAGTTAGAAGCACTAAATTCTTAACATAGACTGCAGAGCTCCTCCTGGCCTGGCTCTGCCTCCATCCTTGCTTCATACCAGGTTCCCTTTACCCTCTGGGCTCCAGCTGCACCAGTGGTGCCTTACCACAGGCACTTCCTACTCCCCCTGCTGGAGTGCACAGTAGCCGCCTTTATCTGTCCCAGACGTTCCTCTCTCCCTCTGAGCACTCTTGACCTACTCACTTTGCTTGGCTTCCCTGTGCTGGGCTTTCACAGCATTCAGAACCTTACGTGTGTCTGATTAACCCGTGTTCTCTGCTAGACTAAATTTCACAGCAGCAGGAGCTACTGTGTCCCCAGTTCCTAGCAGAGTGCTCGGCACATAGCAGGCATTGACAACATGACAGTTGTCGGTCAATTCTGATTTTTTTTTTTGGATGCTGAGGAATTAACCCAAGGCCTCACATAGGCTAGGCAAGTGTGATACTACTGAGCTACATCCCCAGCCCTCAAATTTGATTTTATAGGAAAATTTAACAATTTGAGATGTTGATTATGTTATAATCTATAAAGACTACTGGGACTTAACATTCATACCATTTATTTATTTAAATTTATGTATTGCAGTACTGGAGATTGAACCCAGGGTTTTCACACTGTGTACATCTCCATCCCTTGTATAAATGTTTTTGTTTAAAGACACGGCCTCATTAAAGTCATTCAGTTGTCCAGGCTCCACTGATACTTGTGATCCTCCTACCTCAGCCACTCAGAGTGTGCAGGGATTACGGGAGTGTACACCATACTCAGTTTACTTTTATACCTTTTAAATTCTTATATAAGCCAGGCATGGTGGTACACGCCTGGAATCCCAGCACTCGGGAGGGTGAGGAAGGAGGATCACTGAGTTCAAGGTCAGCCTGGGCTCCAAAGTGAGTTCCAGTCCAGCCTGAACTGCATAGTGAGACCCTATCTCTAAAAGACAAAGAAAAAAAAAATTCTTATATAAAGATCCATGTCTCTGAGACTAAGCACATGAACCCAAGGGCTGTTGGGGCAGTCATGGATAGTTATAGACACTGAAGGTGTAGGTATTATTCATGAGTAGTGAGCTGTCTTAACAAGGGGAGTTGCCCTTTTGCATTCCGGAGTCCGTAGCCTCTGCTCTTTCTGAACACATATGCTTTGGTGCCAGATTTGATAGGAACATTGCTGCAAAGACTTAAAACATAGATGAAAATAAAGACAGAGTGAAAAATCATCCGAGACCTTTCAGGGGTCCTTGTCTCTCTGAGCCAGTGTTCAACACAAACCAGTAGAGTGTTGCTGTCCTCTCACTCCTTCCCCTTAGTATCTATTGAGGTGAAATACCCAAACAACACCACACACACTCGCACACTTTTTTTGTATGTGTGATAGCTTCAGCCTGGCCTTGAATTCACTATGTAGCCCACACTAGCCTCAAACTCACAGCAGCCCTTCTACACAGCCTCCTGAATGCTTGGGATTACAGGCATGTGGCACCACACCCAGCTCTAAGCAACACTAACTTTAAATTACCATTTCCTGTTTAATTAAAACTATATTACGAAATTTTATAGACTGTCTTCCTCCTATTGATGCCAGTCAGTCTCATTCAACTATCTGGGAGAAACCGGAAACCCCTTTGGAATTAGATGAGAATTCTGGCTCTCATAGGCTTCATCTGTTCCCCTTCCCACGTGGCTGAAAAGCTGCTAGAAATATTTCTGCAGGCTGACTAAGGCTCTGTTTTTCTGCATGTTTCCAGTGTACTGAAGCTAATGCTGTGCAATTTAAATGTCTTATTTCCAGATCATTTTATTTCCGTCACTCCTATTATGTCTTTGGCTCAGCAAACCCTAGAATTTGTTTCAGAATTAATCTCACACTGATATTAATGTCTGAAGGATCTGTTATAAGAGGTTCTTGTGCTTTCCTCTCCACAGCACACTCAGAAGCTTTAGGACGTCAAGGCCCAGAGATAATTTTTCTCTCTCCTTTCCCTGTCAGTGCTTCTGGATGCATCCCAAGGATTCTGATGCAGTCAGTGTGGGAATACACCACCCCCAGTTAAGAGGACTACTCTGAGGAGTTTGGTTCTTCCAAATTATATCTTGGCGCCTAACTTTTCTTTTTTATCTGTTTCATTTTTTTAAAAAAATGATTCTAAGCTACCTTAGGCATTGCTTATTGACATAGATCTCCAGAAGCACTTCATTCCTGATACGTTTCTAGTTCCACAATTTCTATACTATAGTTTTTGATCCAAGGATTTGATTACTTCTCAACTTAGTCTGCTTAAAAGGATTAAATCACTTGCAGCATAAACTCTTCCTGTTTGCAAAGTTGACTTTTCACATGAATGATTTTCCATCTCAAGAAATTGTTCCTATTTCAAAGACTATGAAATTCTACTTTATAAAGAGATGAAGTGGATTTCCTAAAGACATTCCTATTGAAGAACACCAAACTAGCTATATAAATGGGATCGTTGTTATAGCTTATAATCATCTCTGCTACCTCTGCTTCTGTGGAAAATGCAACAATATGGAGAATAGCCAATAGTGGGAGGCTGGTTTGCTACTATAAATTTTCTCTTCTCTTTCCTTTCTTACTGTTTCTAGTTACACCCACTGGGCTTTGACCATCATGTAGCGTTCCATAATATGTCCAAACTTATCTTTGGGCCCTTGAGAAAATGAGTGAATTTGTTTGATCACCCAGCTTTGGTAATGTGACAGTCACTTAGTAAACTTTGAAGTAGTTGAAAGAAGAAAATGGAAAGTAATGCTGTTTTTAGGCCTGGCGTGATGGTGCATGCTCCCAGCACTTGGGAGGCTGAGGCAGGAAGACTTCCATGAGTTCAAGGCCAACCTGTGCTACATAGTGAGTTGAAGTCTGAACTACATAACATAAGTCAGCCTGAACTACATAACAGCAAGACCCTGTCCATAAAACAAACAGTGGGCCAGGGATATAGCTCAGCAGCACAGCGCCTGCCTGGCAAGCATGAAGTCCTGCGTTCGATTCCCAATACCCCCCAAAACAAACAACTGAACAAAAAGCACTATTTCACCTGTATATAGTAAGTTGTAATTTCCCTGTACAGTGTTTATCTAACCTGCAGACATTTGCCCTTTCTCCAGCACTTTGTTAGCGAACATAAATATGGCGAGGATCTGGGATGAGGAACTGATTCTCTTGTGATGTGCAGACTCTGAAAAAGAGCATTGGTTCATTTGGAGAAGGTGAGATGGTGAGAGATTCCAGGCCATGCGGCTGTCCACTGTTAATGAGCGACTGGCGTGCTGACTAGCCTCTCCTCAGAGCTCCTCAGTGCCTTTTGTCTGCTTGTTTTTATGAAAAGTAACTGAACATACTTTGAACTCGGAGGATATTTACCAGCTCCCTGTGTTATAAAATGCTCTTTTTCTACTATTTTCTGTGGAGTTGAGAGGTATACACCATAAAGAACATGACTCTGGAATCACATCAAATTTGAATCCTTCCCTGGACACTGATAGCTTGGAACCTCGCTTTACTCTTCTTTAAATGGAGATAACAAGAGAAACTCCTGTCTGGCACATAATAGTCCTTTTATGTGCATCCATGTGCATTTGTGTGTCTGTGTCTTTGCCCATGTGGGTGTCTATGTGTGTGTGGTACTGAGCATTGAACCCCAGGCCTTCACTGTAAGCTGTATCCTCAGCCCTTTTTTTATTTGAAGAGTATTGCTGAGTTGCCCAAGCTGGGCTTGAACTTGGAATCTTCCAGCTTCAGCTTACTAGAGTGCTGGGATTATAGGCATGCACCACTGTACCTGGCTAGTGGGCCCTTAAATAATAGTTTTAAAGACAGGGGAGGGTGCAGTGCCTCAGAGTGAGGCAGAGTGAGAATTTGTGGTTGGTCCACCAGGCTCTGAACTCAGCTGCACTGTTTTGTCTTATATAAAAGTAAAATGTCAGAGCAGGGGCTTTGTAGTTCAGAGCACAGGCCTACATGTGTGAGGCCCTGGGTTAGGTAACCACACTGCAAAAAATAAAATAACATTTAAGTGAAATGTTAGCCTTAGGACACTGATGGTTAACTCATCACTAGTCCAGGCTTGAAGTCAAGAAAAAGGTCTGAGGAGTAGTTTTAAACCACTGAACTCTGACAACATTTGAGTTGAAAATATTAGTATTTTTCAGTTAGATTGTGTCTTTGTTACTTTTCTTGTTGAGACAAAATACCTGACCCCCAAAGTAAAGGGGAGAAGGGTTTATGTAGTTCACAGTTTGTAGAGGTTTCTGTCCACATCGGCTGGCTTCAGAGCAGGGTGGCATGGAGATGTGCCGCACATGGCAGCAAAAGACAGCAAAATCAAGAGCGAAAAGAGGAGACGGGAGCCGTGCATGGTGGCACACACCTATAATCCCAGAACCTTGGAGGCTGAGGCAGGAGGATTGCCATGATTTTGAGGCCAACTTGGGCTACATCTTGAGTTCAAGGTCAGTCTAAACTGCACAGCGAGACCCTGTCTCAAAAACAAAAACAAAAAAAGAGGAGTCAGGCCTCTTTCTGTCCCTTTTATCTTATGCAGACTGCTGGGATTAGGGTGGTGCCAGTCCAATTAGTGGACAATCACCCATCCTTAATCTCAGGACCCCCCTTTTTTTTTTTTTTTTTTGTCTTTTTTCTTTTTGAGACAAGGCCTTGCTATGCAGACCAGGCTTGTCTTGAGCTCACTTTGTAGCCCAGGCTGGTTTTGAACTCACAACAATCCTCCTGCCTCAGCCTCCTGAGTGCTGGGATTACAGAGGTGCACTACCATGCCTGGTATTCCCAGTACCCTTAATCCCAGCATTGCATGCTGAGAATCAGTCACAAATTCTAGATTCAGCTGCCTCGGAAAAAGCCCCATCTAAAAGTGCATGAGGCTTTGGGGAGACATCTAGACAAAAACCATACCAGATTGGTATTTTGGATTTGGGGTTATTTTTGCAGAAAGAAATTTGGCAAGATACACATTTGTTGTAAAGACTAGTTCTACTCATATTAAACTGATCTTGATTATTTTTACCTTGCATTATTCAAATTTTTAAAAAAGGATTTAGCAAAGACTTGATTTGTTTACCTTTTTATTTCTTTGCAAAGTCTGTACTTTAGCATGTTCCTTGCATAGGAAACTGAACATATGGCCTGTACTATTGTTCCCGGACTTATTCAGCTGCTGGAGCTATAGCCAGGAGTTTAGGTACTGTAGTAGGAAATGCCAAGAAGTCATTAGTCAGTGGTGGTGGAAGGGGAGATGAGTAACTTGATTTTAAATTGTTCTCCTGTCTCTAAGAATTCCTTTATAAAGAAGTGGGAGTTTGGAGAGAGCAGAGGAAAAGGAGGGAGGAAGATTTCCCTTCCCCATTTTAGAGGTTTTTCTGTATAACTATTCAGGTAGACCGTTCTTTATCTTAAATTGCTCATTGGAACATAGAGAAATAGGAAGAGCTTTATCCACTGTTCTTCCATCGTGTGACCACATATTCCTTATATTTCTGTCTCAGTGCCCCACCCAGAACACAGCTATTCGACTAGACCCTGATGTAACTCAGTTATGTCTGCGTCCTGGGGTGGCCCTAGTGATGCCTCTACTGTTTCCTCTTCCACCTGTGCTCTGCTCCCAGCCTGACAGGTGCGAACAAGAGAAATTCTGCATCAGAAGATCCTGCAGCCACAGCAAACTCCAGCAGCCAGCCCTGCCAGCCTCATCGGGAGGTAATCCAGCTTCCACACTGCGTGTGTGAGAGAGAAAAGGCACCTGATTGTCAAAGCTTAAGTACTAATATATAATATATACAATAATATATACATATATTAGCACATACACATTTGCAGCTAGTTTTGAATAGCGTGCTGTTACATATTTTAATTGACTCACATTCCATGATACTCCTTTAATAGCATATGATATCTGGAAAATTAATGAACAGGAAAAAGTTTTTACATATTAGAATTCTAGCAGCCTCTGCTTCCTAAAACTCTGACTTGGTTTTATATCTGGTCTTTTGCTGCTATAGAATCGTTAGTGTTCATATCGTAACAGTGATGTGCCTAAGATGACCAAAGCACCCATATAACCCAGGGATCTGACACCCAGTCAGCTGACAGGAAGTAGCTCAATATTACCTTTCTCTCTCTCTCTTTTTTTTTTGTCTTTTTGAGACAGGGTGTCACTATGCAGTTCAGGCCAGCCTTGAGCTCACTTTGTAGCCCAGGCTGGTCTCAAACTCACAGTGATCCTCCTGCCTCAGCCTCCTGAGTGCTGGAGTTACAGGCATGCATCACCCAGCTATTTATTCATTTTTTATTTACTTACTTTTTCGTTGTTTGAGACAGGGTCTTGCTATGTACCTCAGGCTGGCCTGGAACTCACTATATAACTCAGGCCGGCCTCAACCTCATGGCAGTCCTCCTGCCTCACCCTCCTGAATACTGATATTACAGGTATGCACCACCATGCCTGACTTACCTTCCTCTCTTTATTCTCATTCCATACCTACTTTGCATCCCTCCAGCCCCTAAGTAGTTCCTGAGAAAGCACTGATACGATATTCCAAGGCACCAGACGATTTAGACTGCTTGTAGCCAAGAACTGCTGATTTTCTTATATCGGCACTAACCCTCACTTTTGTAGGTAGCACTGCCTGGTAATTAGTCACACTGGGAGTTGTGCACCCATCTCAAGGTAGACAAACACTGGGCGTGTCCAGTTTACCAGGGTGCATCTGAAAGCGTAACTCCCTAGAAGCTCAATGTGAGTATGTCAGGGGAGAGAAAGTGAACCTTGTAGGGGTAGAGAACAAACCAGAAAATAGAAGAATAACCACCCTATAATTTATTTTCCTTGTTTTGGAGAATAATAGCACTATAATAAAGTCAGTGCTGTCAGTAATTCTTCAGGACTGATTTCGCATTGGAATTGGAGGACAAAGAAGAAATCCCAGGAGCCACATGCCTTTTGGATTGCAATGTGCAACGTACTGAATGTCGCAGAAGCACGGCTTAATCTACAGTTCATGCTGTCTACCAAAGCAGACCATAATGCTGCTTATTTTATTATTTCAAGTGTTCCATTATCTTTACAAATGCCTTATGATCTACAAAGTTCAGACATACAAGTTATATGTCCGGTTAAGAGCTTGTAACAATCCAAAGAATTCTTTGTCTTCCATGTTAGCTTTCTTCCTGAGCCTATCTAAACAGAAGTAAACTTTTCAGTGGAGAAGAACCTCTGAGTAAAGGCAGGGAAAGATTAGTGGAAAATGCACGACGTGTGACATAGTGGCTAGGTCAAATTGGCTGACAAAATTCTGAGTTCCAGACATAAGTGTTGCCATACTAGGATTATGCTTTCAGAATACTCCATGAACTAACCTGAGACCAGAACGCCAGAGTACCTTGAACATCGTATTCTTTTATCCACAGGTATTGCTGGGAAACAGAGGAGGACAAGGTTATAGGTCAAAAGGCCAGAAGTCCAGTGACCCTACGAACCAAGGATGACATGACAGCATGGGTCATTACAGAAATCGCTCGTGCTATTCATCTAGTTCCAGGTATCAGAGTGCTCCATCCCAGCTGGAGGCAACACTAGTGAAAAGGGCCAGGCTCACTCTGCAGGGACCCATGGAACTGGAGCCACCATGGAGCCTAGCCCGTCTAAACCCTCATTGAGAAAGGGCCTCCCCCAGCGCAAGCCCAGAACCTCTCAGCCCGGAGCTGTGAACTCCTGAGAGAAGTTCCAGTAGCTTCTCTACCCACCCCCACAATTCAACATGATAACTGCACTTTAGGAAATTTGTAGTTAAGTTTAATAACAAAAAGAAGTTTATGCATACCACTTTTTGTGCCATTCTAAATATTTTTTATTTCTTCTCTCATTATTTCTTCTTTATTTTTGGAGGGGGAGTGTTTTTTCCCTTGACTTTTCCCAATGATATGCTGATTCTGATTGGGATCAGGGATAACAGTGGCCAGGTTTCCCAAGGGTAAGCAACACTGCACCAGGTCTTCTGTCTGCCCAAAGAGGCCTTACCCAACAAACGCCTCCCCCTCCGCTATTGAGGCTGTCTCAGGAGGAGTGGGTCAGAGATAGACCTGTCACTTTTTCAGTATAAGCAGAAGCCATGGATGCCTGCCAGGTCTCCTCTAAACAAGTTTGACCAGGAAAAGACTGTATATTACACTGGATTAGCCAGAAAAGAGAAATGTTAATTGGTGCAAAAGAGAACACAAGGAAACTAGACAGTCTGCCTCTGTCCCAGAACGTGCCTGAGACTTGACACTTGAAGCAGGGTTTCAGCTCCCTGCTTGGCATCGTAGCTTACCCTGTGGTTCTTCAAAATGCCCAGAGCCTTGTTTCCTGTTACTGTAGGCCAACCTCAGGCTGCGAGCCCCTCTAAGGAAGTCTAGGAAAGTTTACATGCAATGAAAGTTTTTTAAAAGTTGTAAAGACATACTTCTTTGTTTCAGTGTTTGGAGATTTTTGTTGTTGTTCACCCCCATTCCTGAATCCTGTTCTTATCTTGAACCAAATTTATTGCAATATAATTAGTGTTAATCTGTTACCCATCAGAAATTGCTGCAGTCTTTATAGATGAATAAATAAAAATAACTGTGTAAATGTTCCCACGTTTGCTTCACAACAGCAAGTGACTTCATTTTATTATCTGTTTTTCTTTGGGCCTCATGGGGTGGAAGTCGCTCAGACAGCTTGTTCTGTGCCGAAACGGTGTCTGACTCCCGAGTCATTTGTCCACTGCTGTTTAGCTTCAGGACCAAATGAAAACGTGAAAGCTAGCATGAGCAAATGCAGCTGTTTGTTGTGGGAAAGGATCTGTAGGGTAGAGAATGGTGACTTTGCAAAGGAAAACTTAGCAGTTTAGAAAAACCACAGCTGCTATCCATTCCCCCAAGCAACCAAAGGTTATATTGGCCGGCCTCCCCATCCCTGGACAGAAGTAGTGAGTGTAACAATGTAATTGAGCTCCTGCATGTAGCAGGGGGCACTGGTGCCAGACCCATCTTCCCCACTCCGCCCCCAGTTTCTGTGAGTTAATAACACAGAGCTTTCGTTCCTCCGGCATGTGTTCCCCCAGCCCAGACTGTAAGTGGCAGCGGTGCAGAATTTAGCTGCCTCAGGGCTTCCCCGGCAGCTCAGCCAGGGATCTGGTTGACTGAACAGAGACAGACAGAAGTCTGTTTGTCCTGTGTTTTGGTAAACAAACCAGTAGGCGAGGAATATTGGGAAAGCTATTTTCTGAGGAGCCATTTGCCTCATTTTGGGGGATTTGTCCAACCCCGTCAGCCAGCTTTCCTGATGCTTGCTTACTCCAAAGGAAATCCAGAGAGTGAAGCAACCCTGAAGGACTGAGAGGTCTATCCCTATATGCAGGCAAGACTGCATTTAACCACCCAGCCAAATAAGAAGTCACGTATTTGTCAAAACTGCCTTGGAAGTTGAAATTAAAATCCCCTTAGAGAAAAATATTTCAAGTTTTTTATGACCATAAACCTGAAAATTATGTGGGTTTTTTTTTCACTATTTTGTTTTTAATTACAAAATCAGTGTTTAAAATACCAAATAATACAAAAATGTAAAAGGAAATTTTCCATCTTCCTATTCCACTCCTGAGGGATGACTCAGTAATTTAGCATATATCCTTCTAGACCTTTTTTCAAATCATAAATGTCATCCACACAAATATATAGGTTTTTAAACTTCTTTTTTCCTTCCTTTCACAGTCCTGAAGACCAAATTTCTTGGTGTTTTATTTTATTTTGTCTTGCTTAAGACAGAGACTCACTGTGTAGTCCAGGATAACCTTGAATTCACTATGAAACACTATCTGACCTCAAACTCGTGATCCTCTTCCATGCTAGAATTATAGGTGTATGTCACTCATGTCCTGCTCAAGGCTTATTTTTTCGCATAGTGTGTCCAAATCAATTCATTTAGGCTCTCATGCCAATTTCACTTTTTTTCTTTCTTTCTTTGTACTGGGAATCAAACTCAGGACCCTGTGCTTGCCAGGCAGGCACTTATGCCACTGAGCTATATCCCTGGCCCTGACTTTTTTTTTTCTTACAGTCTAGGAGATTGAATGTCAGGCAAGCACTTTGCCACTGAGCTATCTCTGCAACTGTTTGGGGAATTTTTTTTTTTTTTTTTTTTTTAGACAGGGTCTTGCTAAATTGCTTAGGCTAAGCTTGAATGTGTAACCCTCCTGCCTCAGCCTTATGAGTACTATACCTGGGACAGGTATGGACCACTATGCCTGCCTTCACACTTGACTTTTCTTCAATGAACAGAAGAAAGGTTTATTTTAAGTTTGTTTTCTGAAGCCCACAGTACGTCCGGGCTTCCCAAGAGAAGGAAAGTTTCATATCCTGGGAAGCTAGCACTGACTGTGAAAGAGGACCTACCTAACCATCATTTTTCTTTAACTTTTCTGTTTCACTTTATAGATGTCTTGCCTAGAAATAGGAGTGGAACTTAAAAGGTGTTTAGCTCTGTCAGTTATATGCAACCTGATAGGTAAAATTTAAATTAGCATAGTGGGGTGGGGTTGTAGTGAAGAGTAGAGTGCTTACCTAGCATGTACAAGGCCCAATCCCGAGCCTTAGGTGGGTAACGCCTGGCTTTATTATGAACAGATATTTTCTGGGTCTCTAATTTATAGCCATTTTAAAACTGTAATGCAGGATAATTTTTTAAAAATACAGACTGGGGGTATGGCTCAGTGGTAGGCTTTGGGTTCAATATCCAATATCAAAAAAAGAACACATGGAAGAAAGTAAAAAGTCCTCCCCAACCTTTTCCTGTTCCCTAGAAGAAATCAGTGGCAAGTCCCCTCGTTTGGGAAATTTTTAAAACCCAAACATGAAAATATGGGTTGTTTTCTCCTTATATAAATGGAGATTATCTTATGCATACAACTTGCTATTTAAAATTGTCCTGTTTTCTATCTTTTTGTTTTTTAAAAAAGTATTATGTGCAAGTAGTTGAGTAAAAATAAAAGGAAATCTAAACTGTATAAAAGGATATGGTAAAAGGAAAACCCCTGTACCACTCTGAAATGTTTGTCCCCTCCCATGGGGCAGCCACTGTTAAGTTTCTTGTAAGTCCCTTTGGAGGTACAAGTATATATAAGAATGTGTACCACTCAGACCTCCTTCCATGTTGATACCTATTTTCTTAGTGACTGCATAGTATTCCACTGTATTAATTTGTCCTAATGAGTTTAACAGCCCTAATGATGATTTTCAGTTTTTTGCTGTCATACCACTGCAGTGAACAGTACACATGTCATTCCTCACTTGTGGATAAATTCCTGGGAGTGGAATGGCTGGACTGTATGGTTACTGATATAAGTACTCCCTATTGTTGACGAAGTTGCACAGATTTATATCCTTACCACCAGTGTGTGTTGGGGGCATGTGCTTATACAGTCATTGAGCTGAAAGCTAAGGAGAGAGATAACTAAAGCAGTTCTAGACTTCAGGGAGCTGATAAACTGGGGTAGGAGCAGCAGACATAACTCAGTAGTAGAGGGCATCATGGAGCCCTGGGTTCACTCCCCAGCACTCCCAAATATATGGGCCACTGAGACAAACAGATGAGTAATACAGTGGAATGTTGTTGTATGAACTGTCTTGAGTGTGCTGGAGGAAGTAATGCCAAAGGGCTGAGCCCTGGGCCTAAGCTGATGCTATACCAGAGGGTTCTCCCAGGCCAGGGTACAGTCTGGTGAGTATGGAGTGTGTACAGGGGGAAGAGAATAAATTGTTTGAGGTTAGGAGTAACCTAGTGTGGTAGACTGACAACTGGTGGTCAACTTGTAACACCCAGCTGAACTGAACCAGCATGGTGCTGGGTGTGGGGGGCCCACCTGAGGATTGTTGCCAGCAGCATTAGAGGCAGAACTGGAGAGGAAGACGTTTAGAAGCTGTAGGGAGCTGTTGATTTTCCTGGAGGAGCTTGTCCTGCTGGCTTTCCTGATGAACTCAGCTATTCTTATCATCTAAGGAGCTCAGGACCTTACTGTTGCTGAGAACGGCTGTGGTTCACTTAGGGGGAGCTCTGGTCCTCACTTTGAGCATCACTTCCTGGCTCTGGAAGGAAAGGTTTTCCAGTGCACTGTTCAACCTCCTGGAGAAGCTTGTTGTGCTGGCTTTCCTGATAGGAATTCAGCTGTTCTCATCGCTGAAGGAGCTCAGGACCTCACTGTCACTGAGGATGGCCGTGTAACTTTTGAGGGAGCTCTGGTTCCTACTTCAAGCATTGCTTCCTGGCTCCGGTGCAGATCCCTCAGCCTGCTAGCACAGATCCTTTGTCCCACTGGCACAGACTTTCTAGCTTCCATCACTGACCTTTGGGCCTTCCCAGTGCAAAACCTTGAAACAGGCCTGCTTGAGACATTGTTGTGGCCTCTTGGCCTCCAGTTGGACTTGTTGGGGGCATTGTAATGGGCTCTAGGTCTCCAGCTGGACTCATGCAGGACATTGGTATGGGATCCAGGCCCTGAGCTGAATTCTTTTGGTCTTCGTGTGGGGACAGATTTCCTGCATTCTTTTTGTATATGACTCTTTGGGTGACTATTATAAAATAATCTTATAATTATGTGTCCTGTATTGTTTCCCCTTATAAACTCCAAACTAAAATAAATAAATAAATAAATAAATAAACAAACCCCAAACTACAACACCTAGTAAATCTGGCATACATGATCATCAGTCTGAGAACTAACTTATATACTCTTGGAGAAGCTCAGGAGAGCAATGACTTAGTATACCAGGAAATCCTAATATCAGACTTAACACAATGACTCAACCTCTTGTCTGATTTATAGGGTTCATTCTACCTGGTGAGGATTGTATCTGTATGGCAGCATATTTCTTGTGCAAAACAGTACCCATTTGTCACTAGCTGATATAAGGAAGTGTGTGTGAGTGTGTGTGTGTGTGTTGCTGATGAATCCAGGGCTTTCACACTGAACATATTCCAGGCCTTTTTTTTTTTTTTTAATTTTTATTTTTCACTTTTTTATTTAATTGTTTTTGAGGCTGTCTCACTGAGTTGCTAAGTTGTCCAGGTTGGGCTCAAACTTAAAATCCTCCTGCCTTAGTCTCCCAGAGAGTTGAGATTATAGGCCTCTGCCACCATGAAGAATGATTTTACCACTATTTTAAACCAGTGAATTCAGGATACCGGCCCCTAATGCTGGTAGCCAGAACAATTTGCTATACAATTAATCAAGAATTCTTGGGGGCACTTGGATACATTCTTTACTTCAAACACTGAGGTACCTGTGTAGTATTCCATTGTTTAAATTTGTTATAATTAAGCCAGTCCCTAATGATAGTTTTCAGTTTTTTGCTATTACGAATATTTGTCATTCCTCACTTGTGAGTGTGTATCTGTAGGGTGAATTCCTGGGCGTTGAAGTCCTCTGAGCTCTGAGGCTAGGCCAAATGGTTCTAGTTTTTTCTTCAGTCATAAAAGCCTTGCCTAGTGCCCAGGGCTTATAGTAGAGTAGAAAGGCCCAGGACTTGGATTCTAATTGTCTGTGACCAGCTGACCTTGGGCAAGTGACATCACATCTTTGAACCTATTCTGAGCAG